TGTGTAAATAAGGTCCAGTTGGTTGCCTGATTTGTGAGTAGCCATAGTTAATACTCGCTTGAGATCAAAAGAGGCAAGCAGAGTGTGGAAGTCTGCAGCCTGAGGTTTATCTAGGTGGATGTTGAAGTCTCCAAGCATAACTAGGGGAGTACCATCCTCAGGAAAGTTTGAGAGCAGCACATCTAATTCTTCCATGAAGTTACCTAGTGGTCCTGGGGGTCGATAAACAACTATAAAATGGATTTTAAGAGGGTGGGTAATGGTGGCTGAATTTGATTCAAAGGAGCTGTTGATACTCAGAGATGGTAAAGGATTACGTTTCCAATCATTAGGGATAAGCAGACCAGTACCTCCACCTCTTCCAGTCAGACGGCGGGAGTGGGAAAAAGAGAAATTATTTGAGAGTGCTGCAGGTGTAGCATTGTCCTCTGATTGATCCACGTCTCTGTCAGGGCCATGAGGTTTAGTCTTGAAAGACTTGTAATAGAAGAAAATCTGCTTTGTTTACAGCAGACTGGCAATTCCGGAGACCAATAGAAAAAGAAAGTAGTGTTTTAGTAGACATAGGCAAAGTGCGCAGGTTGTTAGGATTGCGCTGCCTACAGTGTGTGATGCATGGTTTGCGAGTGGTAGTGATGGTAGACCTCTGGAAACACATAGTAAGAATTGGTTATAAAAACTGAAAACAGAAGGGGAGCAAGTAGTAGGAAAGAGAATGATTCATAAGCGATACTTATGTGCCTTGCCGGTGTCCCTGCTCGGTGGAGTCGAACGGTAGAGTCAATGGTCTTTACACTCTTCAGTCTTCACACGAGGAGGGCTTTACACTAGGGCTGCCGTGGTATACTAAGCTTTTTATATTCATCTAACAAAACTCAAATTGAATTCAGCTGGGCACACTTTCCTGTTTATCACAACAAATGGCCAAGCAAAGTGCACGACATTGACAAGGTACAAGATACAGTACGAGACCAAACGCGATTTCAGCACGTCTCCACACAGTAAACCAAACAAGCGTTTCCTAGCAACGACAACTGCGCTAAACACTGAGACAAGAAATAAATACACTTACAAGCTGCTTTTAACTTCTGCTGATTGACTGCTTCTCACAAAGAGTATTTCTTTACACTGTTTTGCTGGCGCTTGAACACACTTTCCTGTTTATCACAACAAATGGCCAAGCAAAGCGCACAACACTGACAAGGTACGCGATACAGTACAAGACCAAACGCGATTTCCTATGACATGACACATGTGGGGCAAACAACACAAGAATGTCTTCTATTGTCCTCTGCTGCATTTAGCAACCCTACCTGCATGAATTGAGCTTGCAGAAATCCTTCACAGATATCTGCAGAATATGGATGACCATTGTTCATAAAATTCTATAGATCACCTGCCCATTTTATGTGTGTTTGTTTCTTATTTTGTCAAATTGGCTAATGCTTTCAGTCTCTAGTAGTTTAGTACTCTCATCTCAATTTCGTATATTTTAGGATATTTAAATCCAATCCAGCACAGATTTCTCACCATTATTAGCACTACAAAATGTGGAAAATAGTGCAGAATCTGCACTGTTTTCATAATATTAAGATATATAAATGCATGCATGTAGTATATACTTCTAGTAGTTGTAAAGCATGTGATTGTGTTATAATTATTATGAAGTGAATGTAAAATGATAGATATCAATCTAAGACATAAATGCATCATATTGACGAAACTGTATCATATTGTGAACTATGTACACAGGCAGTCAGTGGAGATATAAACGAGAGAACTTTTGCCAATCAGATGGTGCCAAAGGCTCCTGATGTCATAGTGGAGGCCCATTACAATGAAGATGACGAGGTGATCGGTAAAATGAAGAATGTCAGTCTCCATGATAAAGGTAATGGCTTTTACTGCAGGTATAATGTTACAGATAATTCGGTTCACCCTTTATCCAAGGTTTTGCTAATAAACATTTTTGTTAATTTTTTTTATTCTCTCTAGTATGAATTGATAAATCATTTACTGTTTATTCAGTATTTTCTTAAGTGACGTTTTGTAATATACTTTGGACAAGTTTGTCTCTTAATAATCCAATTTTTCATTACTTTATTTTGTTAGCATTTCATTGGTTTGGTCAGTCCTGTGCCAATTTCCTTTTGTTTGTTTGTGCAATTTACACCTCCACAGTTTAGTCATATCACCCCAGGAATAATTTCTTCTGTAAATGTCAGGGATTAAAGTTCCGTTGCTACGATGGATTTCCGTCAGTCCATAAAGACAGTCACTTGCTTCATTCCTGAATGATTCAGCTGTTCGAACAAATCAATTGAATGAATGATTCAGTAATAAAATCAGTGACTTGCCACCACCTGCTGGCGAATTTAGTTTAATTTTAGCGTATAATTTCAGTTATTTAAATCATATTTCTGTATTCAAAGTTTTATATTTAAAACATTAATCTCCACATTAATTTCTTCGACCAAACCCCATTCCTCAGCCATACCTGTCACACACCCAGTTTAAGAGCAGTTTTTTTATTCTTGTAATTAGGAGCGCTTATCTTCCTAATTTAAACATTTAGGAGCACCTTCTGATCAATAATCAAAAATTCTGATAAAAAATTAGCCTTCCTAATACGAGGTGACATTTGACTCCTTAAAGTGACTAACAGGAGTATTTTCTTTTTACTTTTGTAATGGCATCATTTTCATCTGTCAAATTCAAAAATTAATGTTTATAATATTTTTAAAATGTCTATTTAAAACGATATGTAGAATAAGACAAGTTACCAATCATATGAAATTAGTATTAAAGGGGTCATATGATGCTATTTAAATTTTTCCTTTCTCTTTGGAGTGTTACAAGCTCATGGTGCATGAAGATCTGTAAAGTTGCGAAGACTAAAGTCTCAAATTCAAAGAGATATTTTTTTATAAAAGTTAAGACTTGTCCATGCCCTCCTAAAAAGCCTCATTTAAACACGCCCCCACATGTCTATGTCACTGTGTGGTGAAAGTTTGTGATGGCTTGACATGGTCTTTTCTTAAAATTTGTAGTTTAGAATAGATAGACAAACAGATGTGTGTTCTGGTTTGTTGCTCAAATGTTACTAGGTGGTTGCTATGTGGTCGCTTGTGTGTTCTGAGTAATCTTCCACAATGCCCACATTCATACCTTTCATACCTTTGTATGAAATAAGGGGGAAGTCGTGGCCTAATGGTAAGAGAGTCGGACTCGTAACCCAAAGGCGAGTTCGAGTCTCAGGTCCAGCAGGAATTGTAGGTGGGGGGAGTGAATGTACAGCGCTCTCTTCCACCTTCAATACCACGACTGAGGTGCCCTTCAGCAAGGCACCGAACCCCCAACTGCTCCCCGGGCGCCACATAATGCAGCATAAATGGCTGCCCACTGCTCTGGGTGTGTGTTCACTTAGGATGGGTTAAATGCAGAGCACTAATTCCTAGTATGGATAACCATGTTTGGCCACATGCCACGTCACTTTCACTTTCAAATACTTCTGTTAAGAAGTCTTAAATTTCAGTGTTTTGATATTTTTAGTGGTTCTTTCTAGCAAATTTAAACGTTTTTGCTGCTTTTAAACTTGTGACTTTTGTGATCATCCAAGTAGTCTACATAAACTCTTCTTTGTGTATGATAGACCTTCTCTAACAGGTTTAGAGACATTTAGAATGTTGAATGTTTAATTGATATTTTGTGATTAGATGTCCAAGCACCAAACGCGAATTGGATCTCTAATGCATGTATTATGCTAAGCCTCTTTTTCTATCAGTTGACATTCCTTTAAATGGAAATAAATGCAAATTTATTTCATTTGTATAATTATGGTGTCCTGACAGTATAGTTTTATATAAAGCAGGGCTCGCATTTGCGACTTCTAAATTCAAATGTTGAATAAAGGTCCACACTTACACCAAATATTATGATCACATGCCTTATGACAGTAAACATTTTTAGAGGTGTAATTTTGACTTCTCGTTTAAACGGTAAGATGTATTGATTTCTTTTGAAAGTCATTTTCAAAAGACGCCCGTGTGTTGCTGTAACCTGTTTTATCAAACCCTAGCTTACAGTTAAGATTTAAATTGGACTTCCCTGTAAAAAAACACATCACGAGAAACATTGGTGCTAGTCACATGGGCCATTTGTGCTTGGACCCCGATGATTACTGCTTGCTATTTTTAATTATATTATAGATGTTGTACATGTGATCCTCATGCCACCTCCTTGCCACCTTGCCACCATACAATTAATATTCTAGAATTCATTCACCGCTGAAAGCTGGAGTTTTTGTTCAACTGGATTGTCAACTCGAAATTCAATGAAGATCAAAAAAGGAGTGAGCACATTTCTGGTTAAAAATGAAAGGCCATCAACAGACACTTAACCCTCAAATGATCCCCATTTCCTATTTACACTTCTGGTCTTTGATTTTTGAAAATTGATAGTTATTGTAAAAAATATATGCATTTTTAAACATACAAATAAAATGAAGTCATGTCGAAAACAAATATTCTCTGATAAAGTAATCTGTATGAAACCAACGCGATGTCCAGTTTTTCCCATCTAAACTTATTATCTCTAATGTGATCACGCCCATGAGCCGATCAGGCTTTTCAAATTCTAAACATCCACGTGAGACGCGCGGACATGTAAAAGCCCATATCACCTTTGTAGACAAGCGTGAAGAGCATTCCAAAATAATTTATCCTTATTTAGGGTATAGACTTATTCTATTTTAATCTGCATTTTAATAAAAGTTAAACAGAAAAAAGACAAATGGTTGCATAGGGGCGCCGCACATAGGGTGCGCCATTTTGCAGAAATCATTCTGTGAAAATCATCTTTAATGAAATGTTATAAATAATCAAAAGCTTGGTTGTTAAAAAAATAATGTAATGAAACTTTTTTTGTTTAGCGTTTGTAGCTTTTCTAAAGAGTTCAAAAATGTATAGATCAACTTACTAAGACACAGAACCACTGTATCTCTTTACGACCACAACAAACAGGACACTTTTCAGACGCGAACTTCAGCTTGCTCTCAGTGCGCGAGTCAAACAAGAGTGGAAAAGGTACAGGTGCCAAATGAGCTTAGTAGAACAACAGTGAACTGTGGTATATGTCAGTAAAACAAACTTACCTGTCCTGTCTCGTTTTACTGTGCTCACAGCGCATGCTCTTCAACTGTACATGAATATGCGGTGCGCACACTATTCTTCATCATAAATAAACCGCATTAGAAACTATGAGCATACATCGTCAATTAAGTCATGAAATTACCAAAATGGTGATTAAAGATGTAAAATTATGCATGCATGTATGTATATGTGCATCACATTTAAGAACGCATGTACTGAAATATTCTGCAATTCAAGATCACAATATAGGGCGCAAGATGATATGTAATTTTTTTTATTTGTGATTTAATGCACAAGTAAATGTGAGCACAGTGCAGTTGTACTAAAAATTGTGCACATTTTTCGTTAATTTGTAAAGTACGAAAATGAAACCATATTTAAATGCATAAAATAACTAATTTTACATTCTGGCATTTATGTGCTGTTGACTTAAGCCCTTTTTTACATTGTTGCAGATGGGGATTTAAAAGAGTACTTTTTTTCCCTTTGTACAGAGCTCGATTTAGGTATGACAAAACTCAGGGCTTAAAGTTCTCCGGCTCCTTGCCGGGTCTCCAGCGTGTGGCGTTTAGCTGCGGAAAATAAGATAGTCCTCCTACATTTAAAAAAAACTTGTTGATATCACGTTCGAGTTAATGAGTTCGCCTACCAATGTATGACAGGAACACAGCTTTCACTCTCAACCAAACTAACATTACTAGCCAATCAGACATTTTTGGTCCTATGAACATGAGATGCGCATAATAGTATCCAACTGCAGAGTCGCAGCTGATGAGCACGACACATTCTGAAAAAGCTGCGAGGCGCAATGGTCAAAGATTTCCATCTAGAGCAGGCATGGGCGAACTCAGTCCTGGAGGGCCGGTGTCCCTGCAGATTTAGCTCCAACCCTGATCAAATACACCTGAACACGCTAATCAGTGTCTTCGGGATTACTAGAAGGCTACAGGCAAGGGAGTTTTAGAAGGGGTTGGAGCTAAACTCCGCAGGGACACCGGCCCCCCAGAACCGAGTTTGCTCATGCCTGATCTAGAGCCATGTTTATATAGAAAAGCTATTTTCTATATAATTAACAGAGCTTTGTAAACAGCTCAGAGTAATCACGTCATCTCCATAAGAACGATATGATTGGCAGAACAAATTTACCTGTAGTTTTGAAAAGGTCCTGTTCACACATGATCTCTTAACGGCAATTTACCAGTGAAGACTGTATGTGTGAAAGGAGGCTAAACTCTTCCTCTGCATGTGCCGTGAGTTTGGGTTGCTTAACGTTCTTCTGGGAAAACGGTGTTATCTCACATAATTTGTAACTTAAGTCATTTATAAACCTATGCCAACACAGAATACATCAACATATTTCTAAATATGCGATTTATTGTAGATCACGATTTCAAAATAAAAGTTTCTCACTTTGCATATGGCCAAATATTGCAATTAAATGGATTTAAACGTCATTGAATCACATGAAGCATCACTAGGCCGTTGGCACCCTTTGCAGGTATTTGTTATAATATAGGTATATTACATTATGTATTTAACAGTTGTTCAATAAAACCATGTACTTGGCTTTGATACTTTATTTGAGCCAATTATTATTGCCTCATCGTTAGTTTATATATAAATATAGTCATATTAAAGCCTGTTTTTCACTTAGTTCTATTTGTATTACTAAAACATACTTGTCAAAATAATCAGATTACTTGATTAGCAAAATAATTGTTAGTTAAGCCCTAGATTTGTT